GTCACGCTTCCGGTGCCATCGCTCGCCCAGCTGCAGACACACCTGGACCGGCCGCGGCTCGGCCGGGGACCCGGATTGTGTCCGGGTGCTGAGCGCAGGTCGGCGAGAGAAGGCGCAGGGAGGAGGCTGCTGGCAGCCGGTGCCCCCGGCGCCCAAGCGCAAGCCACCCAGGTTCCTAGGTGAAGACCCCGGGAGAGAGCGAGCGAGCGAGCGAGCGTGGGCGTGGCTGCCACCAGTCTCTGCGTGACCCCTGCGGGAGAGGCCTCCTCCCCCCTCCGCAGCCCCTGAGGACTGTCACAGAGGTGGCTTCGCGACAGCCCCGGGGTGCCGGGCACGGGAAGGAGGGGCCCGCCCTGCCCACCGGGCGCCGCCGCCTTCCTGCAGCTCCCGCCGCCCCGGTCTCCCCACGCCCGACTCCCGGTGCTGACAGAGATGACCGCCCGAGGAGGAGGAGGAGGAGGAGGAGGAGCGCAGTGCGGGCAGCCTGGCCACAGGCCCCCAACTCTGAAGGGCGGGAATAGGGAGCGCTTCCTCTCACGCAGCTGATGCCCGCCCGCCGAGGGGCAAACCGCGTGGAGGACTGGGTGAAGGTGGGGGGCCTGGAAGCTGACACCCCCCACCCCCCACACACACACTGCTGACACCCCCACACACACACTGCTGACACCCCCCACACACACACTGCTGACACCCCACACACACTCACTGTTGACACCCCCCACACACACACTGCTGACACCCCCCACACACACTGCTGACCCCCCCCACACACACTGCTGACACCCCCCCCCCACCCCCCCGCCCCCCCCCCCCCCCCCCCCCCCCCTGCCCCCCCTCCCACCCCCCGCTGACCCCCCCCCCCACACACACACTGCTGACCCCCCCCCCCACACACACACTGCTGACCCCCCCCCCCACACACACACTGCTGACCCCCCCCCCCACACACACACTGCTGACCCCCCCCCCCACACACACACTGCTGACCCCCCCCCCCACACACACACTGCTGACCCCCCCCCCCACACACACACTGCTGACCCCCCCCCCCACACACACACTGCTGACCCCCCCCCCCACACACACACTGCTGACCCCCCCCCCCACACACACACTGCTGACCCCCCCCCCCACACACACACTGCTGACCCCCCCCCCCACACACACACTGCTGACCCCCCCCCCCACACACACACTGCTGACCCCCCCCCCCACACACACACTGCTGACCCCCCCCCCCACACACACACTGCTGACCCCCCCCCCCACACACACACTGCTGACCCCCCCCCCCACACACACACTGCTGACACCCCCCACACACACACTCACTGCTGACACCCCCACACACACACACACTGCTGACACACACACACACACACACACTGCTGACACCCCACACACACACTGCTGACACCCCCCCCCACACACACACTGCTGACCCCCCCCACACACACTGCTGACACCCCCCCCCACACACACACTGCTGACCCCCCCCACACACACTGCTGACACCCCCCCCCACACACACACTGCTGACCCCCCCCACACACACTGCTGACACCCCCCCCCACACACACACTGCTGACCCCCCCCACACACACTGCTGACACCCCCCCCCACACACACACTGCTGACCCCCCCCACACACACTGCTGACACCCCCCCCCACACACACACTGCTGACCCCCCCCACACACACTGCTGACACCCCCCCCCACACACACACTGCTGACCCCCCCCACACACACTGCTGACACCCCCCCCCACACACACACTGCTGACCCCCCCCACACACACTGCTGACACCCCCCCCCACACACACACTGCTGACCCCCCCCACACACACTGCTGACACCCCCCCCCACACACACACTGCTGACCCCCCCCACACACACTGCTGACACCCCCCCCCACACACACACTGCTGACCCCCCCCACACACACTGCTGACACCCCCCCCCACACACACACTGCTGACCCCCCCCACACACACTGCTGACACCCCCCCCCACACACACACTGCTGACCCCCCCCACACACACTGCTGACACCCCCCCCCACACACACACTGCTGACCCCCCCCACACACACTGCTGACACCCCCCCCCACACACACACTGCTGACCCCCCCCACACACACTGCTGACACCCCCCCCCACACACACACTGCTGACCCCCCCCACACACACTGCTGACACCCCCCCCCACACACACACTGCTGACCCCCCCCACACACACTGCTGACACCCCCCCCCACACACACACTGCTGACCCCCCCCACACACACTGCTGACACCCCCCCCCACACACACACTGCTGACCCCCCCCACACACACTGCTGACACCCCCCCCCACACACACACTGCTGACCCCCCCCACACACACTGCTGACACCCCCCCCCACACACACACTGCTGACCCCCCCCACACACACTGCTGACACCCCCCCCCACACACACACTGCTGACCCCCCCCACACACACTGCTGACACCCCCCCCCACACACACACTGCTGACCCCCCCCACACACACTGCTGACACCCCCCCCCACACACACACTGCTGACCCCCCCCACACACACTGCTGACACCCCCCCCCACACACACACTGCTGACCCCCCCCACACACACTGCTGACACCCCCCCCCACACACACACTGCTGACCCCCCCCACACACACTGCTGACACCCCCCCCCACACACACACTGCTGACCCCCCCCACACACACTGCTGACACCCCCCCCCACACACACACTGCTGACCCCCCCCACACACACTGCTGACACCCCCCCCACACACACACACACTGCTGACACCCCCCACACACACACTCACTGCTGACACCCCACACATACACACTCACTGCTGACACCCCCCCACACACACACACACTGCTGACACCCCACACACACACACACTCACTGCTGACACCCCCCACACACACACTCACTGCTGACACCCCCACCCCCCCCACACACTCACTGCTGACACCCCCCACACACACACTGCTGACACCCCCCCCCCCCCCCCCCCACCCCCCCCCCCCCCCCCACACCCACCGCTGCCCCCCCCCACACACACTGCTGACACCCCCCCACACACACACTCACTGCTGACACCCCCTACACACACACTCACTGCTGACACCCCACACACACACTGCTGACCCCCCACACACACACTGCTGACACCCCCCCCCCCCCCCCCCCACCCCCCCCCCCCCCCCCACACCCACCGCTGCCCCCCCCCACACACACTGCTGACACCCCCCCACACACACACTCACTGCTGACACCCCCTACACACACACTCACTGCTGACACCCCACACACACACTGCTGACCCCCCACACACACACTGCTGACACCCCCCCCCCCCCCCCCCCACCCCCCCCCCCCCCCCCACACCCACCGCTGCCCCCCCCCACACACACTGCTGACACCCCCCCACACACACACTCACTGCTGACACCCCCTACACACACACTCACTGCTGACACCCCACACACACACTGCTGACCCCCCACACACACACTGCTGACACCCCCCCCCCCCCCCCCCCACCCCCCCCCCCCCCCCCACACCCACCGCTGCCCCCCCCCACACACACTGCTGACACCCCCCCACACACACACTCACTGCTGACACCCCCTACACACACACTCACTGCTGACACCCCACACACACACTGCTGACCCCCCACACACACACTGCTGACACCCCCCCCCCCCCCCCCCCACCCCCCCCCCCCCCCCCACACCCACCGCTGCCCCCCCCCACACACACTGCTGACACCCCCCCACACACACACTCACTGCTGACACCCCCTACACACACACTCACTGCTGACACCCCACACACACACTGCTGACCCCCCACACACACACTGCTGACACCCCCCCCCCCCCCCCCCCACCCCCCCCCCCCCCCCCACACCCACCGCTGCCCCCCCCCACACACACTGCTGACACCCCCCCACACACACACTCACTGCTGACACCCCCCCCCCCCCACACACTCACTGCTGACACCCCCCACACACACACTCACTGCTGACACCCCCACCCCCCCCACACACTCACTGCTGACACCCCCACACACACACACACACACTCACTGCTGACACCCCCACCACCCACACACACACACACTAACAGAGCCCCCAGCTAGCTTGGTCTCCTGGGTAACCTAGAGTGCATGGTGAATGGTTTCTCACCAAAGGTGCCCGTTGCCTCTGCTTACAACGGTCTGCCCTCAAGTGTCATCCTGTGTGTGAAATGTGCCCAGGGCCTGTTCATCGTAGCTTCTTCTCAAGTGACAGCATTTGAACACAAAATGGAAATGACCTCAGTTGAGTAGTGGCCATTGCAGGCACACAGCTGGAAGGGTAGCCAGGCGGCTACTGTCCGTTCAGGTAGATGGCAGTGGAGACAGAAAAGCTAAGTGCGTGATGAAAATGGGGAGAGTCGTGTGTGGCAGCAAACTCTCAGTGGGCTGAGGCAGGGCGGTTGGGCAACACTTTGTCTCAAAAAAAAAAGAAAAGAAAAGTGGGGAGGGTGGAGTGGAGGATGGCATACAGCCTCATGCTCTCTGACATTTGCGCTTTCCAGGGCCTGGTGCTTACACTGTGTCTGGGGCCAAGCTGTGGCTGAGTAGGGTGAAAGTCTCCCCCTTGGCACACTGCAACTCCGGGGATGCCAGGTGCATCCCCACTGTGTGTTTCTGAATATTGCTACATACCCTCTGGGCGGCAGAGGCCACCATTGGAGAGGGTTGCCTGGCCCTTCCTGACCGTGCCGGGACTAGCAGCCTGGCACTAGCAGCCTGGTGAGAGCCACTGACCCGGCTGCATTGTTGGTTTTTCCCCAGCAACTAAAGCAACAGCGGGACAAGCTGAGGCAGTACCAGAAGAGGGTCACGCAGCAACTGGAGCAGGAGCGGGCTCTGGCCAGGCAGCTGTTGCGGGATGGCAGGAAAGAGTAAGGGGCACTTCCTGGGGGTAGCATGGTGGGAGAGGAGGCGCTTCCGGGAGCTGAGCCAGGGCAGACGAGCTGGCTTCCCTTGCAGACGGGCCAAGCTGCTGCTCAAGAAGAAGAGGTACCGGGAGCAGCTGCTTGACCGGACAGAGAACCAGATCAGCAGCCTGGAAGCCATGGTAGGCCGAGGCCGGCTGGGGCCTTTGCTGGGAACCAGAGCCCCTGGGGAATGAATGGGGTCGGGGCTGGGCCACCCCAGGGTGGGAGGTGGGGAGCAGGCCGGGCTGGTGGGGGTCAGGTGCACATCTCCCAGGGTTGGGGTAAGAGCATCCTGGTTTGTCCCTGCTGGCTAGAGCCACTGAAAGACAGTCATCGCCCTTTGAAAGTCTCTCTCAGTCAGTCCCAGCCGCCACAGCAGAGAACCAGAACCCTGCCACCCCGTGAGTCCAGAGCCCAGCAGGGCTTCTGACCAGTGGCTGCTGCTTTCAGGTTCAGAGCATCGAGTTCACGCAGATTGAGATGAAGGTGATGGAAGGGCTTCAGGTGGGCAACGAGTGTCTGAATAAGATGCACCAGGTAGGTCCTCGTGGGGCCTGGCGGGTGGGTGCAGCTGCAGACAGGTCAAGGGGAGCTTGCCAGCTCAGATCCTGAGACTAGCCAGATTGGGGGTATGCCAGTGCCTGACAGGGACCAGTGGGACCTGAGTGAGGTGTGGCACAGCACAGCCTTTGAGCTGGGTTCGCTGGGGCTGTGTGGTGGGGAAGGCAGGGAATGGGCTGGTCAGGGAGCCACAGGCTCAGCGGCCAGAGGTTGGATTTGCTGCCTCTCGGGGTATCTGAGGAGGGTCTGGGTGCATGCGCGTCAGGCCAGCAACAGTGCCCTATTGATTGCACAGAGGAAGTCTGGTCACCACCCAGGAAGGATTTCGGTTTTGACCTGTTTTACTGATAATTGTCAGGGCCCTTCCTGGCCTGAGAAGGTCTGGGTAGTGCCTCTGAAGACAGGCCTGGCTCAAAGCCAAGGGCAGGCCCACTTCCCTGGCTTCGCTGAAGGGGAGATAGGGTGAGGGCACAGCCCTTGCCAGGCGCTGTCATCTGCCCTGCTAAGCATCTCTGAAACCTCCCCATCCCCAGGTGATGTCCATAGAGGAGGTGGAGAGGATCCTGGACGAGACCCACGAGGCAGTGGAGTACCAGCGGGTATGTTTTGCTGGGCACGGGCCCACCCATTGCCAGGTTGGCTTCCCGGGGGAACCCAGCGCCCCACCAGGCCAGCTTCTCAGTCCGTCTCTTCCTTCCACAGCAAATCGATGAGCTGCTGGCAGAAAGCTTCACCCAGGAGGATGAGGAAGCCATCCTGGAAGAGCTGAATGCAATCACTCAGGTACAGGTCCCCAGGGCCGTCTGGTCCCCTGGGAATGGGACCCTACAGTCCTCTGCTCGGTGGTGTGTCCAACTGTTACGTGTGAGCCCAGCGTCCTGGTTTCCCAGTTCCTTCCCAAGGTGATTCTCCTCTGTGCTGAAGCCCAGCTTCTTCCACACCTGGTGCTGGCAGCTGGGGAGCTGTGGAAGGAGCGTGGTTGGAGGCTGACCCGGCAGCATGCTGCAGGCACCTGTGGCCCATGGACAGACAGACAGACAGAGGGGAAATTCTAAGTCACCCTGCCCAGTCAGCCTGTGTTTTCCCCTTGTGACGCAGCGGAGCCTATTCTCCCCGCACTCCAGGCCCGAAGGGTCTGCTGGGCTGCAGCTGTGTCTGACCTCCATGTCAGGCCACAAGCACCTCTGCTTGCTAAGGTTGTCCTGTCTCCCCAGAGCCACCTGCTACGGGCAGCCCAGTAGAACTGTCTGGGAAGTTGCCCTTTGGGTCCCGTGGCTACCCACCTGCTAGGGCCAGGAGCCTTATGGGCTGCTGGGAAGATGGAGGCCACTTACACTCATGAGCAGCTGTCCACCACAGCCCTCCAGGATTGCGGGCCCCTCAGTGCTTCACAACAGAAGCCAGTCACAGCTTCCTAGCCCTGGGGATTCCCACACCCTGGGTACCTGCTTCCTCCACGGTCCTATGCAATCCCTGCTTGTGAACTAATATCCCTGGGAGTAGCTCCAGCTCACTGGAGGTCCTGAGGCCTCTTAGAGTAGCTCACCTCTTTGTGGTAGCATTGTCACCCCTGCAGTGACCGCCTGTAAAGATGCAATAGATAGGGAGAGCCAGGCCCCTTAGCAGGAGGCTTGCAGCTGCTGCACCCCTCTGAGGGCAGCTGACAGGCAGATCCAGCCTCTCTTGACAGCCAGGGCAGCTTGTGGCGGTGCACACCCAGCTCACGCCTCATCTCTGCCTCTTGCAGGAACAAATCGAGTTACCAGAGGTTCCTTCAGAGCCCCTTCCTGACAGAAACCCAGGTACTGTTGTGTTGTGTGTTTGTGTTGGTCTGAAGGAGGGAACCCAAGACTCTAAGGGAGCAATACACAGTGGGCGTGTCCCCTCGCCCACTGGCAGCCGCCCAGCACAGTGACAAAAGTGTGCTGCAGCTGTGCCCAGCTGATGGAGAGTTGGTTCCTGGCCTCTGGCTGGGCCAGGGTTTCCAAGGGGTTGAGTTCTCTCATGGAATCCAGACCAGCTCACAGAGGCAAACCTGCTCATTAGCCCTGGACAAGGCTTGTCAGCAGCTCAGGTCCTGGAAGGCTTAGATCCCCCAGTTCCAGCAGTGGTCTGGGACTAACAGCCCTGGGCAGCGCTGCCCTGCAGCATTATGGTCACAGCTCGGAAGCTTCCAATCTAGTCATCGGATCAAGTGGACACTCAAAAGTCACATTAGTTCCACATGTCCCTGTTCCCATGGGAGGCCTACTGCCAGGCCTGTGCCCCTGGCCTCTTGGCCCATCTGGCTTCCTGTTTATAACTCACCTCCCCTGCTGGGCACACCCCTCACCTGCAGCCTCTGGCCTCAGCCTCTGAGAGCTGGCTGTGCTCACAAGTGCATAACAAACGACTCTTTTCTCCTCAGAAGCCCCTGCCAAGGCCAGATCCAGGCAGGCCGAGCTAGTGGCAGCTTCGTAACTTGGACTCTCCAGGGACTCGCAGGGATTCTCTGAGAACTGACCCACAGAGTGTTTGGCTGCGTGTCAACCCTGAGGGCTCCCAGGAGGCCTGAAGGGCTGCGCTGGCCAGTGTGGGTGCTGGTGGCTGGAGCCGCGGCTCACAGGGGCCTGACATCAGGGCCCCACAACGCGCCTTGGATGCACCGTTGTCTTGCTCTCACCCTGGATTGAGTGGACACTCAAAGCCCAGCCAGGCCTGGCCACAGGCTGCTGTGGTCCCCACGGTGGCCACAGCCCATACTCCTGGTGCTGTTCTCATGGCTGACCCAGTCCGTGTGACCTGCACTGTTTTGTGGGGAAGTGCCTCAGACCTTGGGGTCCCTATGCTTCCTTCTCTTGTCTCTGCTGCCCTCATGAGCTGAGGGGGGCTTCAGTTAAGGGGTTCTTACTGTGCCTGGCCTCCTGCTATCCCTCAGTTTCTCTGCAGGCTAGTGGCAGAAACCCTAGGGTACTGCTGCTCTCCAAATCTCTTGGAGCATCTTTGGCACCTCAAGTCTTGAACCTTTTATGTTTGGGGGAGGTGGACCAGGGGCCATTCTGCTGAATGGACAAATCTAGGAGCCTGACTTGGGGTCTTCACAAAAGAAAGACATCTTGAAGTTGGTGACAAGACCCTGTTCCAATGGGTGTGTACCCCCATGGAGTCCTGGACACAGCTATCAGTCCCTAAGCCACCAACACCCAAGAGGTGCAGAGCTTGGAAGTGACTTCCAGGGTCCTGTGCTCATTTGATACTGGACAGTCTCTGACTCTCGGGTCTTTGAGGAACACAAGGCCTGACATGCCTTCAGGGCCCACCAAGAAAGGACATCTCTTCCTTCACCCAAAACAGGTCAACCCCAATATTAAAGTTGGCCCTGCATGGTCTCCTGCCTCTTGGACTTGAGTCTGGTGCCTTGGTGTGGCTCCCTGCATAGGAGCAATTACATGGATAGATTGGAGTGTGGCCCATAACCCAACTGAAACAGCCCTAGTCACCATGCTAGGCAAAGCCAGGGGCTGGGTGCCAGATGCGCGAGTCCCAAGGGTAACCTTGTCCGTGCCCAGCATCTGTTTTTGAAGGTAGAGAAAGGCAGGGCTCTGGGCACTCTGAATGTTCATACAGCAATATTTCTATGCACACAGGGCTGGTGGTTAGGACCGCCAGACCCCAGGCCAGAGAGAGAGAAAACTGGTTGGGGTTGCAGTGCATATCGTATCTGGTAGACAGTGGGCAGGTCCCCTCCTTGGAGCAGCCTCCACACCCAGCCAGGCTTAGCATTGCTAGGTCTCAGGTTCCTTGGGAGACAGTGGAACCTGGGTGTGCAGGTGAAAATGGGGAGCAGCGTCCATTAACATCGAGTCTTGTGGCCTCTCCTGCAGTACGTGTGTCCACCAGGAGGGGGCTCTACCCCCCTCTGCTGCTAGAGCGCTTGGCTGTAGTTTTACCAGTGAGGCCTGCTCCAAGACCACAGCCATGTCCTACAGCAGTAAATCCTGGGCGCACCCACACCCTGCTATCGAGGTAACGGGGCCCAGCAGGCATTGCTTCAGAGGCCCAGGCAGGCCAGGCTCCATTCTGCTCTCCGTCGTGTCTGACCTGAGCCAGGCAGAGGCACAGCTGTCAAGGCAGCCAAGAGTCCTATCTCTTGAGTATAACCCTCCTTTGGGGGATGAGGTCTTGCTGTGTAGCCCAACTGCCTGTGCTGTGCACAGGCCTCGGCTTTCAGCCTTCTGAGTGCTGGGATGGCAGCTATGTATGTACCTCTGTACCTGGCTTGGTGGGGGTAGCCTTTAGGTTCCACCCCTGACCCTGTGAGCTTTGACCTTCTTAGGGCCCCCCCTGCACCATCATGCTTCCTTGTCAGTCAGTGTGGTTGGTATAGGATCTGTGACACCCACAAGCTAAGTATAAAGCCTGTGGCAGAGCTGGGGTCCTACCAGAGACAATCCCTGGAGACTTGGAGGTGAGTGATGGTGCCGTAAATTGGGGCCGCTTGGCCAGGCTGGGGTGAAGGCACTGCAGAACAAGCAGTGCACGGTGCTCCCTGGAAGCCACCTGAGATTGTGGCCTAGAGATCCAGGCAGGGGCCAAAAAAGACTAGCTCATGGGACCGTGGGCAGCTGGGATGAGGGTCCCTCTGCTACCAAGAGAGCGTTTGCAGAGGAGTGACACGTGTGCGTAGTTTTCGGCTGACTCTGTGAGGGGAGATTTGGATCGGAACCCAGCTGACTGTCTTCTGCCACAGCCACTGAAGCCTTGGCACCTCAGCGCCTTCGTCTGTGAGATTTTTGGGGCAGAACCCTCATGCTTGCAGCCCCGAGTGAATCCTGTTGGCTGGTCACCAATTGCAAACCACATCCACCCAAATCTGGCATGATGGCTCTCATCCTGGTAATCCCAACACTAGGGAGGTAGAGGCAGGAAGCCAGCTGGGCTATGTCGTAAGACCTGTCTCAAGAGCACAGAGGCCAGGGATATGGCTCATGGATAGAGTGCTTGCCGAGCTTTCACAAGACCCTGGGTTTGATGCAAAGGAATAAATTGTACCAGAAAGTGCTGACTTCTTTGACCACCGAGGGCTATTTTTTTATTCTTACTACATTTGTTTCTGTGTATCATGTATGGAGTATACATGGAAGCCAGAGAATGCCCAAGGAGTCAGTCTCTGCTCTACCACGTGGGTCCTGGGATTGAATTCAGATCTTCAGGCTTGGTGGAAAATGCCTTCAACTACTGTGGGGGCCCAACTTTAAAGCCCGTCTGTCCTACTAACTGTCTAACTGAAGGACTGGGCCCGGGTGACTCGTAGTGAACAGAGAGATGATTCTCCAAGTTCTGGACATGACATGTGCCAGCCTCCTGCTAAGGAAGGTCCTCTAGTGGCTGGGAGTGAGAGGGCAGGGGAGGCCATCTCACTCCTTCTGAGGACACCAACCCCTTATGAGGGTGGCTCACCTTTATTCCTTTGTTCCTCCCCAGCTTCCAGCTGTTACATTCTTTCTGTCTGCCCTTCCAGGGTGTCCCTGAGCCTCAGTGGAGGGGGTGATAGGGATGAACTCTCCACAGGCACTTACCCTGGCTCTCTGACCAGTCATGAGACCCCTCGTTTACTGTGCCCACTGGAGGGAGAGAGCAGCCTCTCAGGCTGAGCAGCACTGATCTGTGTGTGTAAACACAGGTGACTTGAAGACAGTTGGACACCATGTCCCTCTATCAAAAGCAGGAGCAGGCTCCCTGAGGCCTGTGTCCTCCCTAGTCCTGAGGCCTGTGACCTCCCTAGCCCTGGGTACCAGGTTTATAGTGCCAAGCTGGCATGTCCTCCTGTGGAGTAGGCCTCACCTCACATCCAGTCCCAAAGCAAGTGATTCCCTCCATGACATCTGTGCCATCAGTTGACATATCTTGCCTTGCAGCCCGGTGTTGGAGCCCGGTGTTGGGGTTTAGCACTGCAGTACTGATGGCTCTTCTCTTCCAGAGGCTGTATCTAACTGCCTCTTTCAAAATTTTTTGATTTTTAGAAAAGTTTATGGCATTGGTGTTTTGCCTGCATGTGTGTCTGTGTGAAGGTGTCGGGTCCCCTGGAACTGGAGTTACAGACAGTTGTGAATTGTGCTGGGAACTGAACCTGGGCCCTCTGGAGGAGCAACCAGTGCTCTTAACTGCTGAGCCATCTCTCCAGCTCCTCAAAAAACCATATTTTTGAGCTTTTTATTTGTGTATCTAACTAAGTGTTTGCCTGTGTGCCATGCATGTCCCCTTAGAGCCCAGAAGAGGGTGTCGGATCCTGGGGGGGGGGTGGAGTTACAGGTAGTCATGGGTCTTCATGTGAGTGTTGGGAGTTGAAGTTGAGGTTTCTCAAGAGCATGGTGGCGCGTCTTTGATCCCAGCTCTCAGCAGGCAGAGACAGAAGGATCTCTGTGAGTTTGAGGCCAGCCTGGTCTACAGAGGGGCAGAGGCAGCTCTCCTAGGTCCTGCTGTTAGGGCAGGCTCTCCCTCACCTGTGGTGAGGAGTGGGGCCATCTCAAGTGCAGGGTTCAGCTCTCCCATGGTGGTGGGTAGCTCTCCTGCTGCAGTACCCAGTGAGGGGCAGGGCTAGCTCAGCATGACTCTCAGATTTCAACTTGCATGGTTCCTATGAACACCCCCCGCCTCCCGTGGTAACAAGAGCCATGGACATCAGCCCAGACGATGGCAGCTGTTGAGTAACGGACCAGTAGCCCAGGCCCACACAACACCGTGGCCACAGGTGGCAGTGCAGGCCACTCAAATTGGCATGGCCCCTGTGGCATCGAGGCCCTTGGACACCGAAATGACCCCAAGAGGCAGCCCAGACCACTGGCATTGGTCTGAGGAGCCATGGACATCAACACAGACCCTGGCTGCAGTAGAGCCATGGACCCAGACATGGCCCTCAGCAGCAGCCCTGGCCCAGATGACACTATGGTGGCAGCAGGGGTCACTCAGATTGGCGTGACCCTGGTGGCAACATAGCCCTCAGGCACAACATGGCCACAGGTTGCAGCCTAGACCCCTCATTATGTGGCCTTTGGTGGCACCACGGACCCCCATCACCTCTTAATGCTCTCAAAATGGCAATGGAATTTGAATCTGGGTCTTAGAGAGGAGGCAGCATTGAATTTGGTAGCCACGCCAGGGAATGGAACCTTGCGTTAAAGCCAGAGTGGGTTACAGACCTTAGAAAACAACGCTGCTCCGCTCAAGGCAGGTCCAGCTCTAGACAGCTCACAGTAGCCGATGCTGGAGCCAGAGCGCTCAGAGCGCTGCCAGTCTGCGTTCTGTTTTTTTAGGTTCTGAGGGTCATCCTAGGACATCATTCAGGTTAGGCAAGCACTCCACCCCGACAGCTGCCACCAGCCCTGTATCATCCCCCAGTCTGGGTGTAGCCATTCATCAATCTCCCCGTGCTCACCCCTGGAGACTGCCGGTCTGCTTTCTTGAGACAGCCACATGCTAGTAATCACCGTGTAACCTACTAGACCATGGCACCTGCCACTGTACACAGGCCTCTGACAATGACCCAAGTGGCCATATGTGCCCAGGGTAAGCTCCCTTGTCATGCTTTGTGATGGTGTCCGATGTGGGTGACTCTTTCACATTTGTGGGGGATACTGGGGTCTGTGCAAAGTTTGCTGACTGTTGCTAATCACCAGGCCTGGTGTTGCACACCTGTAATCCTAGCATCCCAATGGCAGAGGCAGGAGGATCTTTCTACTTTTTCGATCACCAGCCTGAGCTACAGAGTGAAGCCCTGTCTTTTTTTCTTTTTTAATTTCCTATGGTCAGGCTGCCCCCTGCTCTGGGGCAGGCAGAGGTCACTTTGGACAGCTGCAGCCCGGACTTACCTGCTCATCACTTTGCTGCTGTGCGCCCTAACTGATGGCTCCTGCAGGGTGACTTTCTCATTCCCTAGAGTCACCTGTGTGAGGAAGGGACTGCTGCTCCCGGCCCCTTTCCTTCCAGAGTGGACCTGTGTGTGTCCAGGGCTCGGGCCACTGGGCACCTCCCACCCTTCCTGTTCCCCCACCAGCCTGGGGGAGAAACAGTTGCACCGCAAACGCAAACGCACTTAGCAGTCATTCCTGGC